TGCGGCGGGACCGCCAAGATCGGAGTTGGGAGGCCACAGCGAGAGAGTCGAATACGCTTGTGCGGTTCGTACACTCTCTCTAAAGGAGGGCCTGGCCTCCCGAAGATGAGCAGGGGAATCAGGAACTGCTACTAGGGGCCTGAGGACGAGAGGGCTTGGCCGTCGAACTCAGGTCTAACCGCTTGCGTTGTCGTGTGTAAGCCGGTGGGCGAGACCTAGGACCCCGTTTCTTACAGGGGGGTAACCTAGGCGATGGCTCATGCCGCTGGACCTCGCGGTGCTGTAAAGACGAAGAGCGTGAGCGAGCCGCAAGTGGCTGACGCTCCACTTCCCTAGCCCTGCGAGGTTTGAGTTGACGGAACGCAGCAGACTGCTGTTTCGCTGCTCTAAACTTCTCCACGACCGTAGTGACCGAGTCTCCGAACAGACCGTCACTCGAAATGGGGGCATCCAGGAGAAAGGTCCTGTCCTTCTCCTTAATGTCAGTGAGCGTAAGCCAAAGATGGCGCTCAGCTGACACTAACCCTGCCATGGACTTGCCCACTGCCCGAGCTGTGTGCGTGGTAGTCTTAAGCGCCAAGTCAGTAGCTCGTCTGAGCTCTTTAACGGCCTCTGGAGTCAGGCCTTCTCCCTCGTCCAGCTCCTTGAGCACATCTGCCTGATAAGCCTGGAGTACACCCATAGAATGAAGTGTAGCCGCGGCCTGCCCAGCGGCCATGTAAGATTCCCGATCAAAGCGGAAGTAACCCTACACGGCTTGGACGGTAGCAGAGGGCGTGACTTCCAAGACGGAGCGGAATTTAGCGAGAGACGTGCCGCGAGAGTCTCTTCTACGGCCGGCATCGCGTAGCCGTGAGCCGCCATTTTAGAAACCGTGGCGAAATCAGCGGAAGTGGGATTAGTGATACGCGACGAAAAAGGTTGTTTCTCCTCTATGAGAGGCCTACGGGGCTGAGACGGAGTGCAGCTGGACAAAAATCGATCGTCCAGTTTCGACTGGGACTGAATTTGCGCCGACTCTCTATCCCACTCTAACCCCAGCTTATCCACAGCACGCGTTACAACATCTAATAGTTCGCTGTAAGACGGGGAGGTACGTTTCTCCTGTCCACTCGGAGGGAGAGAACTGCACAGTTCACCCAATAAATCCTCAGAATCGGAGGCTGCTGTGGACAGCACGTCTTCATCATACGGCATACAACCAAAAGGCATCGCGAGCTTCCGGGGTAGGCCGCAAATTATCATTGACGTAGACCACGGGATCCCCCTAGTGCTCTTCGAGCGCTTGCACATGGCCCGGAGAGAGCGAGAGAAAAGGAGAAAACTCCGTTGACTCGCCCTCTAAACGCCTCGGCTCGCATGTGTCACCCCAAGCGACCGTCTCGTGCAGCGCCTCGGCAACCGCAAAAATGGGATAGTGGGGGTTAGGCGGGGGTACTTTACTTGAGAAGGCCGCGAACCTCGAGCGCAGTGCTTTTAGCCGTAGGCTATCACAGTGTCGACAATCAGAAAGGCCGCTAAGCGTCGCTTGGGCATGAAAAAATCATCCTCCCTGTGAATGTTATATCTTCAATAAATAAAAAAAATAGGTAAACAATTAATTAATCTTTTCTGTTTCTTATTGCAGTTTTGTATTGTTTGTAGGTCACAGAATTCTTTTAAGACCAGATATCTGTCTGATAGTGCAGCCCAGTGAACTGGAGAGTTGAAAGAGGCCTGCAGTGCTTTGGTAGATGTTATAAATCAGGAATGTGTATTTTAGGATGAAATGTAGGACAACTGTCTGCAAAGAGCTACAACTAATCACCGGTAAGAGAAAAAAAAAGATTGTGTGTGTGTGAATGAGAGAGAACGACTGTTTGTATGCTTATGAGTATGTGAAGCAGCTCTGCAGGTACAGGTCACTTGTTCCCTTTCACAGGCCCAGTGGACTGAGGTTCTGACAGCAGAGAAAAATGATGAGGACATCTTACACGGTTACTACGCCCTGAGTTCCCTCACATCCAGTGAGCAAAACACACACACACGTACACCTCTCTAGCTGTCTTACTTTCTATCTATTCTGTTCATTTATTCATATTACTCATCCTCTTACTTCAGTAGTGGGCTATTAGTCATCAGTTTTGAGAATAGAACGACTTTTCATTTGCTTCCCTGGAATTCCTCGTTTACATTTACTCCAAAATGAGGAACTAAAATGATGCACATTAGAATGACAAAATTTAACCTAGTCAGTATTGACATTGGTCTGTTTCATCAGTGGTGCTAATAGAACTAATAGAAGATATGAAAAGTAGTGCTGCCATCTGCTGGACATTAAATCAAGGCTATATTAAAATAAATGTCACACAGCCTAATGGGTAACTGGCAATACCTTTAAAATCATACAGACCACCGAAAATACCTTTTTGGAGAAACACAGGCCTGATTAATCTGAATTCTGATGAATCTGTGACACATTTTGTGACAGGCCATCTAGATAAATCACACAGTGTGGCATAAACATATATACTCATATACTCTTGAGGATTTACAGCTTTTGCTGAACAGCCAAAACCCCTGATAGTGGAAGATCTTGTTAAAATTTAGTACCTGTCCTATGGGATGGTCTAGAGTTATAGATTGTTTCTTATCTAGGTTAACATCTCAGTGTAAGGTCATGTGGGGCCCTTTAAAGCTCTCAATCACACTATTGTGTTCTTGTGAATAGAGACCATTCTTTCTCTCTCTTCCTAAATCAGTCAAAAATTTAGAAGCACATTGGAGTTTTCTATATATCAAAATATATCCAAAATATATATTTTTTGGCAACCTGAGATGCACGCTGTGTCTCACACACCACAGACCCTAGTCCTTACTCCAAGTGTTTCCCTGGGGTGAACTGACAGTGTTGCCCAGATTTTCCAGTTGACCAAGGTGTGCAATGCACAGAGTTGTGCTCTTTGTCCATTACTATGACTGCAGCAGAGCTTCCCTGCTATCCTGGCCTGCAAGGGCAGCCTCTCCCTAATTGTGCAGGCGGTTACAGGTTTCCTGAATGCAGACTATTAACAGGCTACACTATGGGTACGTGGCTGGTCTGTCACACCCAGTGTTCTGCACCAGAGATGGGAACCAATCTGACATAAGGGCAAGTTTGACAGATTTTTTTTGTGGCCATTTGATTTGCTTTTGTCATTTGAAAATGTGTTTTTATCGGTTTTATTAACGTAATTATATTTGAAACAAACTTACTTGTTAGTGACTCTTCTATCATCTGTCACGGTCTCTTCTTTCTTCAGATAATCACATACCTTCACTTTAACATACATAAAATATGTGACCCTGGACCACAAAACCAGTCATAAAGGGTCAATTTTTCGAAATTTAGATTTATACATCATATGAAAGCTGAATAAATAAGCTTTCCATTGATGCATGGTTTGTTAGGATAGGACAATATTTGGCCGAGATACAACTATTTGAAAATCTGGAATCTGAGGGTGCAAAAAAAATCAAAATATTCAGAAAATCACCTTTAAAGTTGTCCAAATGAAGTTCTTAGCAATGCATATTACTAATCAAAAATTAAGTTTTAATATATATACAGTAGGAAATTTACAAAATATCTTCATGGAACATGATCTTTACTTAATATCCTAATGATTTTTGGCATTAAAAAAAATCTATAATTTTGACCCTTTTGGCTATTGCTACAAATATACCCCAGCGACTTAAGACTGGTTTTGTGGTCCAGGGTCACATATGTGTTAAAGTGATTTACAAATTTAAGGATTCAATTTGAAAATAAAATAACTTATCTGGCTTATGCTTAATACTTATAATTATGCTTAAAACATTTAACTAAATAAGTCTATGTATTCATAATTATGGCTTATTGAAATACATATTGTACTATTTTTCTATTACAGTGGGCCCTTTCTATTGACTTTTCTCTGTTGTGCTGAGGTTTTTTTTTTAGACCACACATATTTTTCTCATACAGAACGTTAAAAACTAAAAACTGAGGCTAACAACAAAAAGGGAAGATTTAATTCTACTACAGTGTAATTTACAGAACCAAAAAAGTCTTATGGTACTCTTTAGGAAATCAGCATGTTCTAATAAAACAGAAGAACTGATAGCAGTGTATTTTGTGTTTCAGATATGGGGCAATTATATAACAATGACAGCTGAGCAGCGGACTTCCACTTTTAGAGACATACTCCTCATCTTCTTTGGTCTTTGGGTCAGAACATCGCAGTCTGTTTTATCAAGGTTTGTACCTTAATGTTGATCACAAGACAAGCTGTGCCAAGTTACTGATAATAATTAAATCAATGAAAAATTACTTTTTATTCCTTGAAAGGTTTCTTAATCCTGATTTTGAACAAAAAGATTATGAACAAAAATATTTTCCAATGAATTGTGCACAAGACCAGCAATGTACATTAAGAGAATAAATAGGCTGATATAGATTTCCAGTTTAAATTTATTACTGTGCAGACATAATAAATATAAATGAGGGATTTTCTTTCATATAGCGTCTTTCTAATCATTTAATTTTGATCCACAATTACGGGCTTTAGGATAACACGCTGCATTTGTCAACCATTGATTTTAGTCAAATCTTACTGGTAACTTTAACTTGAACCACTCCAATTCTGAAACAAAATAAAACAATAAAACATGGGCATGGGTCACTTCATGAACACAATAAACATGTGCTGAACATATACATTTTAAACCAAATGCTTTTATGTAGCTCATATACTCATATAGAATGAGTTAAAGTTAATGAAATAGCTTGGTACAGTAGAAATGTTTATTTAATATTCATTATTTTCTCTCTAAATCTTCATTGATCAGATGGAGAATGAGTTACATAAACATGAAGTCACTCTGAGATGTTCCTCTGTGTTGCACATGAAGGAGGGATGTGCACAGCCAGTCATCTATGACCGAGTCAGGTTAATTGTTAGCTGTTCAGATGCCAACTAGAATGTGTGTGTGTGTGTGTGTGTGTGTGTGATCTCTGCTGTTATCGCTTGGAGATTCAAATCTGAGTTTGGGATAAGAAGTGGAGCCCATCTAAAGGTAAGGAACCATGTAAAGAGTGCACTGTTGAAATATTCATATAGTATTAAATCTAACAGTGTTTGCCACAGGTTTGCATGTCCCTGGATGCTCCTCAATGAATTTATATTGTGAAAACTGAATAGGAGTACAAGAATAATGGTGCTTTCTGGACAAAGTAGATCAATACTGTGGTGTCTTTCAGCCGTGACATTCTCACTTTGCTTAATGTCTATTATAAACATCAGGCAGATTTATTTTAAGGTTATTTCATGGTTAACAATCTGAAGATTGGCAATGAGAGCAGTGATGCTGTTTGTCTCAGTCTCAGATAAAGCCAAATGACAGCTATATAAAGGGAAATTAAATTGTGGATATCTGGGGAGATTTGAGCGAAAAATCTCTGAACCTCACTCGTCTGGTATTATATATAGTTATGATAAGGTACAGGGAGTAGTGAGCAAAAATCACAGTTTCTGAGTGTAATGTGTAATGTGTTAATAACAATATAGGAAAAGCTCTCTAAGAAAACTGAAACTTACTCATCTTGTCAATAGTAGTTTGTGTTGGGTTTTATTGGTGTGTATCATTTGCAGTATGTGGAGATTAGGAATTGTTGAAACACTGGGGTAGTTACATAGTAACAGCAAGTTAGAGCTGTGCTGTAATTACATGGAAAAACTTTGCAATACGGTTCTGTACATCAACATTATGTTATGGTAATATGTTATGTATTAGCTATCATGAACACTGAACAACATTCTTACAGTATTTACTAATCTACATTAATGTTCATTTCTACATATACAAATACATTAGTAATATAGTGAAATTGAATATTTCAGAATGTAGTGTGAACAAACATGAATAACAATGATCAATAGTACATTTGTAAATTAACATTAAACTAGATTAATAAATGCTGTAAATTGCCAGCAAAAGTTAGATGAGAAAGTACTTTTTTAAATCCTAAATTCTTGAAGTTCATATCAAGTCATTTTTATGTATACAAATAATTCAGCAGCAAGCTATTTAATGCCTGGTTTTCTTTGTAGACTCTGTGTAGAGATACACTGTGTTCTGACTTCAGAGTTAACCACGCTCATTGGCCAGCTTTTGAACTCGACAAATAAAATGGAGAGCCAGCAGAGACGAGTACATCAGTCAGAAAAGCTCTTGACTGTATAACATATATGGTGTTTATATTGGAGATCACGGGGCTTGCACTGCTTTAATTATTTACAGGCCTGTATGTATTTGAGCACTAGCTTGTATTGAGCTGTATTGGTAGTGCTTTGATCTGAGACGGTTCTGTTCTGTTCTGTTCTGTGCTGTTCTGTCCTTGGGTTTATGCTGTAACCCTCTCTTTCCAACCAAACCATATCAAGTGTCTCTTTCAAAGGAGTATTGTGTTGGTCAGAGTCTGCTCACCTCTAGCCAATCCTGGTCCCTCTCCTCCTTCTTATCACGTGTTTGCTTCAGTCACGGTCAGACTGGAGAATGACTGAACATCGAAAGTCCCACCCACTTTTGTTGGTTATTAAATACATGAATTTGGAAATGGATCAAAACTTGGGATATCTGCTGGAAAAACTGATTGCATTGCAGGTTTGTCTTTCGCCTCATGCCTCAAGTTAAACATGATTGTCATGTGATGGTGGAATTGGTGGCACTGAAAGTAAGCTTGAGTTAACCTATAGTTTGTGTTGCTAACTGCACCTGAAAAAAATATTCAGTACCTTATTTTTGTTACAATATTGTAGCGAAGTTATTGATAATGTGATAATGTATTTTTACAAGCATGAAAAACGTTTGACAAAAAAGGAAACAGTCATCTTAACTGACGTATTGATTTGTGTGTTTATACTGTAAATCTTTAAGGTAAGTGAGAGTATTTACAGGTCTACATAATGGACTATCCAGATAATGGCTGCATGAATGTATCTGTTTCCAAATCATTTTCATCAACCTATTTAATTTACTCATGCTGTTTATTTTCAGTAGGTTTAGCATCAGTAGCCACTTGTGGACATCAACCTCAGTGTCTTAATTGTAGAGGACATACAATAATTTCAGATTAACAGATAACAATCTTTGAGATAAAGTCTTTGGTTTACTTGATTAGCACAGGACCTGATGCACAAATAAATGGATTTTTAAAATAAGCTTAATTAACTAAAAATATATGTGAACTCTTCTATTGAGTTTACAGTAGAATTGTAATATTATGTATTCTACATTATGTATGTGTTATAATACTCACTTTTTCAGGGTTTTTTTTGCAGTCTATTCTAGTCAGTGCTTCTTGACTGTAGTATAAACTGAACCTTTGGCTATTGTACTGTAGTTGCTAGGAGACAAACTGATTGGAGTTGAAGTGCATGTGAAGCAGATGTTATTGTGTATGAATAAATAGATCTGTCAGAGAGCCCATAACATCTTGACACACATTAGCAACACTTAAAACATTATAATGTCTTTAACCTTTAACTTGGCCTTTAGGCTGCTTGAAGTAATCAGGACATCAAGACATCAAAACAACAGAAATAAGAATAAAAGTGTTTCTCCTTGTTAGATTTCCATCAAGTCTTTTAGATCAGGTTCAGGCTTGGTTGTTTTCTTCTCCTTTTTAAAAAAAATAATTAATTAACTATTTTCCAATTGATTGTTATATGCGTAATAATGTTTATAGTAAAAAAGTGTACTATACTTTTGTCTGTATTTATTCAGTCTGACTGCACAAAATTAAGACTGGACTGTTGATCCTGTGAACGATGGATGAAGATCTGAAAAAGACGAACCCTCACAATGGGAGCCTCTCAGGGGCTTTGGATGCCAAAAAGCCCGATCAGCCAAAAGCAGCAGCTCTGCAGAAGAATGTGAGTATGAGAGAAAGAGAATCGTACTCATTATGAGCACACATAAGAATGGGAATAATGTTGCATGATCACTGGTTTCTATCCAAACACGGTGCATATGGGTGTGTGAAGGGTTTAACTGTGGGTCAGCCTGGCAGTGCCTGTCACCATCACTGCAGTGTAATCCCTCCCCTTCCTGACCCGTCTGTCTGTATATTCTTTTGTGACTCCCACTAATGACTAGTTTGACTATTTATATGTAAATTTGCATGAATAAGGACACGGAAGGTCATATTACTACAAATAGCTTTAGCTTATATTAATAAAAAAACAGGCAGCTTCAAGCTTCATTCCACCTTTAATAAAAGTGTATTGAGATCATGTAGAGCATTGAATTAGGAATGCACAGATGTTAATATTCTGGTTGATATGTTTAATTATTATTTGTTACTGTTGATAACCAATTAAATGGCAATTCTAGATAAAATAAACACTAAAACCTAAAATCAATCAGTTTAAATGTTACAAATTAATTTAGACATAACATTATAACATAATGTATTATAACTAGAAAAGGATGTCATGATTGGAAAGACTGAGTGTACACGGTGCAGAGGAAGACTGCCTTTGTGGACAATCCGTTAACCTTTCTTGATATGTCAACAACAACGACAGGATGGACACTGGGAGGATCTCATCAGACTAGCACAAAACGGAATCCTTTTTTAATCTTATAAATATATATATATGTATACAATACCGACCACTGATATTGGCACCCTTGGTAAATATGAGCAAAGGCGGCTGTAAAAATAAATCTGCATCATTTATCTTTTTGATCTTTCATTAAAAAAATTCACAAAATTCTTAACCATTTTACCATTTGTATCACTCCACTTGCAGTATTTCTCATAGCGAGCGTCATAGCGGATGCCCAAATTCACTATAATTTCATAAATAATACTGTTTTGTGTCAAAGAATGTCATTTTTAAAGATGAACTTTAATGGCAAAGCTAACCGGAAGGTATAAAATAGATTAATTTAAAGGGGTCATATGATGCTGCTAAAAAGAACATTATTTTGTGTATTTGGTGTAATGAAATGTGTTTATGCAGTTTAAAGTTCAAAAAACACATTATTTTCCACATACTGTACATTATTGTTTCTCCTTTATGCCCCGCCTTTTTGAAAAGTGTAGATTTTTACAAAACTCATCGGTCTGAAAAGCGAGGTGTGCTGTGATTGGCCAGCTATCCA